TAACACCATACATCTCTGGTATAACATAAAGACATGGAGATAGCTGTGTTAATGGCAACCAGTGTGCCCCTGTGATCACTTATGTCACTACTGAAATCAATAACGCCACTGTCAAACACGTCAATATCGTTACTGACTAATATGGGATCTAATAAAGTTCTGCATGTTCTACTAACTCGTGCAGGGTCCTTAATAACATTATACAATGCTTTTCGGTTCATGATCTCTCTTAAACGTGAAATTTTATCTGATAAAAGGTCTTCATTCAGATCACCGACAAGTACAAATTTTGATGTAAAGTCAAATGAATTCTCTATTGAATTTTCTAATCTCTCCCAAAAAGTCACGTCCATGCCCGGGGGTCTATAAGCTGCACAAAGCATGATCGATTTCTGAGGTAAATATATTTCTAACCAAATTGTTTCATCACTATTGTTTTCCAAATCAAAGCGTCTTTTAAAACTCAAATAATTTTTAACGTAGATCATGACACCTCCACCAAAAGCATTTCTATCTTTACGCAATGGTTCGTGAAAACTATCCCATGCTATATTTGTGTTACTGATAGAGTTATCAAAGTGCGTCTCAGTGAAACAAATAATTTGGTTTTCAGATAAGCATTCGTTCAGGTGAGCTAGCTTGTGCCTCACGCTTCTCGTATTGAGGTGAAATATTTGTAAAGACTTGTCTAATGATTGAGTTACATCATGCACAGGGCCAGGGTTCAACTCAATGTCACCAGAAAGCAAAAGTAACAATAGAAATAAGATCAGCGCGTTGGTGTTACCTAACGATGCTGTCACAAAGCACAGGGCACATAATACAATCCACGCCTTACACTCTAGGCTGAAGATGCACAATGATGAGCCGAAAAGGCTTGTAAAATAATTTAGTAGATTTATACGTGATGTTTTAAAGTTTGAGCTTGCTCGATGTGTGGTTCCATGAAAAAGTCCGATAACAATTCTATGTTGGATTATGTCATTACCCATTCTAATGAAAGTGTATACGATATCTATGTACTGACTTTGCTATAGCTGAAAGATAGGGGTGTTCAGGCAATGCAGATCTTCGAAATACTAATGGTATAACAATAATAAATGTGGTATAATAGGTTATTAAAGCGGTAGATATAGGACAAATATGATAGTAATATGTAATCACATGAGAAAAATGGAAACCCGCTTATAGCAAACAATATAGATGATGGATATACACAACTGGGAAAGCAACGAAAGGAGACGAACCGTGACAAGGTATGATACAATGTAGTTAATGTACAATATATATACAATGCAACAGGAATATGTACAATGCAAGTGGGATACGCTCAATCAAAATCGTTATGCAGCTGGAGACGTGGTTCCACAGAACAATTGTAGTTATTACATCAAAACAAACTGGTGGTTGTTACAACTTAGTCTACTAGATACTGATACATCTTAGCTACTATTGACATAGTGAGAATTACGTTAAAGTCAAGTCAAGAAGTCAAGATCACTTACTCATTTAGGCACTGCACGATAATCCAAAACAATCCGTTTGATAATCCAACAAATATCACAAACTTATCTACGATATCTATCCAAGTCATAATCACTTTTGATCTCACGGATCGCACCCTCTGGTTGTTCTTCCACAAAAATTCTACCATCTCTTGTCCATGTACCAGAGAAACGCTTGTTCTTCCACATATCTCTCGACTTCTTGAACAGTACACTTCTAGTCTTGGTTAAATCCTCATTGATATTAACGTTCTTGTATTTTTGTGATAGGCGTCGTCTGTGTTTGATCATGTAGTACTTGCTGTAGTGGTTCATGAATTTCACTATAATCTGTCTTGCATTCCCTGTTTTTTTTTCTCCAACTCTGTGGCATCTGTCTATAGCTGACATGGGCAAACTATCATCAATGGTGTTTAACACATCCATCACAACTTTGTCAATTTCCTCGTATTGAGACTCTGATACGCCAGTGATACGGATGGAGTTCCGTCGACTGTATTGTTCAAGTTCGTCAGTTCTTTCTTCAACATGTCTTTTCATATTTCTTATTTCATTCTTCTGTTTCGTGATTTGTTCAGTCTTACTTTCCACTTCCTCCCTCAGTTTTCCTATTTCCTCCTGGCACCCGTCGATATCCTCAATTTTCTCCTCGACCCGCTGTTTGAGAGATTTGACTTCTCCTTTTAGCGGTTCTATAATATCTTTTAGCTTCTTGAGCTCTTTGATATCTTCTTTTATGGGGTTAATGTCACCTTTTAGTTGTTCAAAGCTCTCTTTTAGGGGTTTTACAACATTTTGAACGTGCTCAGCGATAAGGGCCGTGGCAACCTCCATGAATGCTGTCTGAAACTTTTCTTGAAGTTGGGGTAACATTAAGGCTGTGGAAAGTTTCGATGTTAGAGCATCAGTAGCTGCATTGTTTATGAAGTTGAACACAGACTGGTCAAGATAAGAGGGTGTTCCACTTACATTGTCTGTAGCTGTTGTTTTCTCCGTGTCCGTTTGCTGTTGTGTTGGCGTACTTGTCACTTTGTTGTCATAGGTGAAGCTCGCACAAAAGTTGTCGGCCATGGTTTTAAAATCCAAAGTCTTTTGCACTAAATCCTGTTTGGTAGATTTAGGAGGCATACTGTCAGCAGGAGATGATGATGGTTTCCTATTTTCACTGTCGGATCTCGCCGGGCCTTTGGCTGTCGACTTGTCCTTGCCCTTGTTTCTTCCCATTTGGTGAGAATAAACACAAAATATGTGTCAAATTATACCAAGGACCTCTAGGGTAATACTATCTAGCACAAATGTGGACTTTAGTAGACGGTCTGACTTGCGTTTGACTAACTTTCCACCGGTTTAGCGAGAGCCCGAGTTAAACACGTCTTACCACGGCCGCCATATTGGATATATGGTAAGAATGGAGAGAATGGTAAATAACCGTCTGGTTTACTTCATGGAGAAGAACAATCTCTTTTCAGGTGTCTAGTCAGGCTTTCGAAAAAACAGATCTTGTGCTGATCATTTAGTGCGACTTGAAACCGAAATTAAAAAGGCACTGGGAAGCACTGAATTTCTACTGGCTGTTTTCATGGACATTGAGAAAGCCTATGACATGTTATGGACGAACGGTTTAGTAATAAAACTGTATAAGCTTGGAGTTAGTGGCCGCATGCTTGACTGGATAAAAGATGTTGTTCAGTCAAAAGCCCTACGAATATGCCTTGGAGCATTTAGAACTACCCCTGTTGAGGCTCTCCATGTTGAATCTGGTGAACTACCTTTAGATCTCAGACGTGAACTGTTAGAAGTTCGGTACATGCTTCAATTGAAATCTTTTGGAATGAAAAACCCTACTTCAGCTGTATTGGGAGATTGTGTTGAGTATTTCCTAGATCCTTGGAAAGACGGCATGGGGCCTTATGGGATGCGTTCTCAGAGAACTGCTTTCCATCATAATGTACGTGATGTTGCCATAGCTGATGTTAGTGTTCTGCCAAAGAAGCCACCATGGTTGCTTGACCTTCCATCAGTTTATCTTGACGTTCTGGAACAAGCAAATAAATCTGATCCGGCGCCTCTTGTTAAAGCTCTTGCCGAGGAACATATCCGAAGTTTACAGTGGATCAATGCAATGCATATTCACACTGATGGATCTAAGTGCTCAGTGTCCGGTCGTGTTGGTGCAGGTATCTTCATAGCCACTGATAAAAGAGAAATATCTCTACGATCAGCTGATCACTTATCTGTATTCTCTGCTGAACTTGCAGCAATCATTGAAGCTTTGCGGTGGATTCATTTTTTGAGACCTGTATCAGCGGTCATTTTCAGTGATTCTGTCAGTTCTTTGCAAGCAATCCAGACAGGTGCCTCCTCAGCCAGACAAGACTTGATCAATATTATCCTTGATCTTTTTAATGAATTAAGTAAAGACCTGTTATATGTTGAGTTTTCATGGATACCAGCTCATGTTGGAATCTTTGGAAATGAAAAAGCTGATCATTTGGCAAAAGCTGCATTAGCTTTTGATGTCTCAGACCAGGATGAGACAATATTGCCCTCTCCTGCAGAATTATGCACAGTCAGTAAGACCCATGCGCAAGCGAAATGGCAACAGAGATGGACCTCATCCTTAAAAGGACGCCATCTTTATGGCATTGAGCGTATATAGCTAAAGCAAAATTATCTAGAAACAATCGTAGGGAAGAGGTTCTTTTAACCAGACTTCGTCTTGGGCATTGTGGTCTTGGTGCATATCTAAACATTATTAACACTGATATTCCTGCAAATTGCACAGTGTGTAATCAGCTAGATGATGTTGCTCATTTTTTACTGCATTGTCAAAAATATGTAACTCATCGTACGGCGATGGTGGGATCTTTGACAGCGCTTAATATTGACCTCTCCTTGACTGGATTGTTGTGTACAAGTAATATCACTCGCAATGATGTTCAGAATGTCATTCTTGCTTACATTAAAGCTTGTGGCAGCTTTACTACTTTGTAAACATGTATCAACGTAGCAAACCTTTATGATGGGCAAGGTGTAAATGGGCCCTGTTGCCCGAACACCTATCAAACTTTCAATTATCCTATCCTATCCTGTGTTTGAAAGTAGATTTGGGTTTGTTTTTCTCAAGTTGACGCTCTCGCTCGGCAAATACCGATATTTAGGCACGAGTGTCGTAAACATAGTATAGTTTGGGCACGAATATGATATTCTGTTTATTACCGAAGTCGTCAAAATGAGTATGTTTGAAAGATAAATTTTTGATAGGCTGAAGTTACGAAAGAGAGTCTGAAATATTGTTTAATAATCTATTTAACAGCTCCTTGCTTCGGCAGTGAAAATTGAGCTGTCATCTGGTAATCTGGAACATACTGTTCGTTTTATCCAGTGACAGTGGCACACGCAACTGTGCCCCTATCCACAATGACTATGAAATGATAATCCTCATACGAATGGTTTGAATAACAACGAATATTGTTTTTCTACATAAAAGTATTTAATACTCTAATATGTCCGTTGTACTCACATTCAAACGGCGTCGTTACAGACATAAATATATCTAAATATAAAGAGAGTCTACGCATCAGGGATACACCTTCAGAGATCCTGCAAGCGGAGCATCCCCATATATGGGCATGCTTCGACTGTGCCAGAGAGCGTCTCAACACACAGAGAAACGCTGTACACTCAGCCTGGTTGCATTCGTGAGAAATCGGTGGCACAGAGTCGGACCACACAACTGATTATGCGTGACAGTTTCAGTTTTATCATCAATGCAATGCATCAAATATATCAAACAAGGATAAATGTCTGCAACCTGACTGTTTTGTGGAAACAGTAACGATTTTTAAACTACCTATGCCTATTCTTACACATACACAGACGCGAGCAAAATACGAGTATATAGATAGTAAAACATGACTTGGCCAGCCTCTGTTATCCCAAACCTCGGCGACCTGAAGCTATTACTACAACTAACTAAACAACGGTTTGCTGTCTAAACACCCTCTGGACCAAAACAAGTCCAGGGCCTAGATTTTCGAAGCTCTCTTAGCGCTAAGATAGTCGTAAGTGCCATACATTAACATTAACTTACGACTATCTTAGTGCTAAGAGAGCTTCGAAAATCTAGGCCCTGGTTATTTGGATTCTGTTGTGCTTATTCGAAACGTGAAGTGCACTGTTTAAAATAAATTTCAGTCTGCAACAGACTTCACAATTGTAGGATATCAAGTCTTGAAAGTTTACTATCGTGATCACATGTAGCATTTTGCACATATCATTTGAATTCCTTTCCAAGCACATGTACCGGTTGATTACCGTCACACGTCTCATACCCATTGTCACAACTGGCATAAGATCTAATCGGCTTCGTTGTGGGGTTTATCAGGCGTTCCGGGTATATTCACTTTGTCCTGTGTTTGCTCCACAGTAGCCTGTGATGTTTTTACTGACACAGCACTGGCATCGCGTGTGGTCTTGGTGGTCGACTGTTTTGAAATAACTGCTTCTTCCTTTTGACTGATTTCGGTCTTCACTGGGTCAATTTTCACCACATTATCTGTGGCTGAGGAATCAACCTCCGTATGAGCTGACTCTTTACATTCAGAGGTTAACGTCTTTTGAAGCTCGCATAACTGTCCTGTTAGAGTTCCGATGTCCTTGCTTATCTTATCAATCTCTACAGTTATCAGTGATATTCGATTGTCCATAGACATTGACCGCAGTTCCTCTCTTCGCGCAGCATCCTCGTCTAGCAGGTTATCCTTTCTCAAAATTTGCTGACCTCTTTCCATCAATATCTTTTTGGCTTCAGGATACTCTTTCAGTGCGTCCCACAAGTCATCCTTTGACAGACAGAACAAATCTGAATAGCCAACACTTCTAACACTGGCTGTTCTACGATTCCCGGTTTTGTTGCCTGAGATATTAAGAATACTCACCTCCCCAAACACAGCTCCATCAGACAAAGTTACAAACACCTTCTTACCATCTTCAGAAACAACTTCCAGTTTGCCCCTCTTGATAATGTACATCTCTTTGCCTATATCACCTTTTTTACAGATGTAGTCTCCAGGACTGAACACTTGCAACCTGAGCTTGAGGACAAGCTCGACTAGAAGGCCTGGCTCACAGTCTTGAAAGATTGCAACTCGTTTTAGGGTATGAAGGTGGACATGAATTGCAATCTCTGCCCTCAACTTTTCTGGCAGGATGGACAGAGCCTGTCTATCATCAATAGATTGCTTATTGTTCCATGTGTAAGCAAACCACTGTACAACGCGGTCCTGAATGTCAGACCCAACTTTGCGGATTTCCATGTACCTTTTGACAGCATCAACATCATGCTGAAACTCAGTTCTAGAAGCATTCATCTGGTTGATCATTGATCCAATGTTACCAAAGATTGTAGCAAAGATGAGGACACCTATAAGAGTGTCACAAATACAATACAATACTGACTCTATTTTTTCGGGAGGAGGCGTGTCGCCTATTGCAGTCAGAGTTAACATTGACCAGTAAAAGCTGTACAAATACTTTATAGTCAATTGTTTTTTATATTCTGTGGTGTCATCATACACCCAGCCATCCGTGCTGAATCCAAGGGACTTGCTGATAGCGAAGTATATACACGCATTCCAGTGTATAACGGCCATGATATTTACAATAAGAAAGAAGAGACGGAAGCCAATTGGTGAACTAGTCTTCGTTTCTGAATCAGAATAGAATTCGTTTACGCGCCAAACTTTAAGAATACGATTCAACCTGAGAAGCGGATTAAATCCAACCAGAAAGTAAAATAAGTCGAGAGGTGTTATCGATAGCAAGTCCACGAGAAGCTTCCATGATTTTACATAGCACCGCGTCAATCTCTTCACGTCTGTCACGAGAATACCTTGTTCCAGGAAACCTACAAATAAACAACGGACTTAAAAATATGTTTCTTGTGTGAATGTATTTGTATGAAAAAGATGTTCTCAAAGGCATTTTGGTTTATCAATTTGAAATATAGAACCCAGAAATTTGTCATGTGACTTTACATCACTTGTCCCTGTGCGCAATGTATTCAGATGCAACAAGCAACTGTTAAGAGGGTGATTATTTAGAATTTCATTACACCAGAGTGAGTGAGTTTAATTTTACGTCGCTTACAGCAATATTCCAGCAATATCACGGCTGGGGACACCAGAAATGGGCTTCACACATTGTACCCATGTGGGGAATCGAACCCGGGTCTTCGGCGTGACGAGTCAACGCTTTAACCACTAGGCTACCCCAACACCCTACACCAGAGAATATGGGTTACTTTTGATGCCTGACTGTACTGAAGGATGTAACTGATTTCGTATTGGCGTCGGTCTACAGGTTCTTTGTGTTGGTGATTAAATAAGTTATACTAATTATTAACAATTATTGTTAATTTCTTAAAATATATTATTTTGGGCGTTGTAGGCAAACACACTTAAAATTAAAGGGCGCTTTTTTACATCCACCTTGCTACCTGTAGTAACTGCAGATTCATCACTACACAGTACGAACCTAGTCTGCTCTTGACGGCACTGTCCAGGATGTAGGTAAGGTCAAAAAAGTAGTCGAATGCAAACCAATATGGCATGTATGTGCTCTCCCTCAGTTCGGTGAAGACTGCCCGCAGAATGATGACGATGATGTTGTAGTATACAGCCACTGTCAGGAACATGGACCAGTAGTAGTAGAAGCTGCTGGAGGGGTCGATCACCAACTCCGACCAAAACCTGAAGAGGAGTAGGAGTGAGTGGTGACATCGGATGTTAAAAGTTAAAAGTAAAAGAAGAAAAGCGAAAACGATTTTGAAAAATCCCCACAGATATATTAAATAAGAATCGCGAACGAAATTGTTGATTTTTTAAAAAAGAAATCACATTGTTACTGTGTATTTTGATGGTCTTTTATCAAGAGTCTGAAGCATTTGGGGGAGAATTTATGATTTTCAACAACATGCCAGTGCCGAATTTTCAAGACAGTTCACAACCCATTTAAGACCATCATATTGTTTCAGATGCTTATGTCCTATGGAAAAAGGACATCCGATGATTTACATAACAAAACAGATATGTCTGAACCCTACGCACAAATTGCAACACATTTATATCTTTCATTACCGACAGTCCAGAACTGTCGACAAGGGCAAGCAGGACTGTTAGGAATCGTCCACTCTCCTACCCAGAATTCCATGCAGTGAGTGAGTTAGTTTTACGCCGCACTCAGGAGCATTCCAGCTATATGGCGGCGATCTGTAAATAATCGAGTCTTGACCAGACACTCCAGTTATCAACAACATGAGCATCGATCTGCGCAATTAGGAACCGATGACATACCACCTGATTCCGTTAGTCGCCTTTCGCAACAAGCATGGGTTGCTGAAGATCAATTCTAACCCGGATCTTCACAGGTCTAGTACGTCTGCCACTAGCAGCCGCCTTGTGGCGATCGTACGTTGTCCATCCGAGATATCATAATCTTATTTTCATTTCTGACATCTGGATAAATATGCGACAGAATAGAAACTTTTCATCAAGAAAATATTAAAATACTAGAAAAACATGTTCTGACTTCGAGGCCCAAAGTGAGTGAATTTATTTTAACGCCTTTTAGCAGTATACCAGCAATATCACTGCGGGGACACCAGAAATGGCCTTCACACATTGTGCTCATGTGGGGAATCGAACCCGGGTCTTCAGCGTGACGAGCAAACGCTTAATTAAAACATCATCATTCAGCATGTTCAAAATGTGTTAGTTATATATAGCCAGGCCATAATCTATTCAATATACTGTAACAAGGAAGACAATTTTACTAAAGCATTAATACACTACTCAAAAAAAGAAACGCACAGCAAAAATGGTCATTTTGAGTGATGCAGAACAGTGATAAAGAAAACACTATTGAACATGTATTGTCCAATGGACGTAGAGGTGGGACGTAACAAATGACGTGCAAAAAGTCGCAGAGCAGTCAATATCTTGTTTGCATCATTAGCATCAATGATGGCCTGGTATCGGCGTCCCATAGATTGGATCAGATTCCGGAACTGTCTAGGAATGTCCTGATATTCTTCCCGCAAAGCCAGGAACAGAGCACCTGAGGTCTGCGGCTGAGGATCACGCTGTCTCAGCCGTCGATCCAGTTCGTCCCACAAATGTTCATTTGGGTTCCGATCTGGTGATTGGGAGGGTCATTAAAGAACTTGAACGTGGTGCTGGGGATAGTATTGCAAGAGGTGCTGTAACAGGTTTTGTCTTATTGTGTACCAATGGCACCCTCACGTTGCTGATTCGAGTGTCGCGGCATACACGCCTTTTTTCTATTAAACTTGCAAGTTTCATGCATTTTCTTGTTTAGCAATGTCTTTATGTTCAATGCACATGAAAAAGTATGAATGAGTGAATTTCAATTTTTTTTATGATGCCTTGATGATAAGATGATAAACTCCAATAATCATATGTTTTTAAGGGGGAAAAACATCCAAATGATCCTGTGATTAGGCCTCACTTTTTTGTGAAGATGATGGTACATGCCACGGGCTTGTCTTTTCTTCTCCGGGCATACGACCAGCCATGGTGAAACGTTCCATGAACGGGTCGATCTCCACAAGAACATTTTTAAATGTGCTCTGGCGACGTTCAGACATGCGCCTCACCTAGGGACATAAATGAAGGCTGCATTACGTTTTGTAACATTTTACTTTTACAAGTTATTCATTCTCGCAAATACAATCACACCCAGTATATGAAACTGAGCGGGATGTGTTCAAATTTGAGATATCCGGACATTCTAAAGGCACTGACAGCCAGTATCTGTATTAGTGATCCATATGAAATGCGATTACATACAGTTGGTTGGTTGGTTTGTTGTTTAACGCCGCACTCAGCTATATAGCGGCGGTGCGTAAATATTCGAGTCTGGACCAGACAATCCAGTGATCAACAACACGAGCATCGATCTACGCAATTGGGATACGATGACATGTGTCAACCAAGTCAGCGAGCCTGACCACCCGATCCCGTTAGTCGCCTTTTACGACAAGCATGGGTTGCTGAAGATCAATTCTAACCCGGATCTTCACGGGTGTAGTACATACACGAGCAATGAAGTGAGTGAGTGAGTGAGTGAGTGAGTGAGTTTAGTTTTACGCCACACTCAACAATATTCCAGCTATATGGCGGCAGCACTGAAGAAATACAAGTTTAAGTAAGCAGCCGTAGGCTAAAAAAGCGGTATCAAACGGGGTTCCCATAGTTCCATACAAGTGTCCACTACAAAGTTCAAGGTCCTTACCTAATGTGTTCAGACTGACAACACATTCAAAGCATATATATATCTTAACATGTTCTCTTGTGGTAGGCAAGTGAATGGCATTGTATATTATCAACATACTTTTACAATGTTTAGATATAGACAAATTTGAATAAGATGTGAAATATATATTAAAATTTTCTGGAAGATTGACTTTTGTGTCGACTACAGTCCCCATATCAGTGTTGGTAGCCACAGGTCAAGAGGCTAAACACATAGAAAGTGTTTAAACACATTTAAACTGCTTTGACAATGAATGTCAAGGGTACTATAGGGCTCTTATCTATCGCACAATGAGACCCTCAACACATTTTGCCCTCTGTGGATCAACATTATGTGATATAACGTGTTCAGGATCTGGAAACAGGAATTGTTTTGTAAGTGTAAATAGATAAATTATTTGATGATCTTTGGAAAACTTACCCAAAGACAGACAGTATTGAATTTCCTATTTGATGGTGTACAGTATATATTAAATACTTGATTCTTTTAAAGAATTGCTAAGTGTTAACCCTCTGGATGCCGATGTATTTTTAATTCTGATTTCTTCACAATTTGATTAGTTCTGAAGAGTGAACACTGTCCGTTAATACTACATGACGTTGGATCCAACTCAAACTGTTGAATTTTCTAGCCGATGGTGTAAATAAAACTGCAAATATTACACCCGTTTGAAACAAAAAGTGTCCAGTTTGGTCCGAGGTTTGCGTACAAAAACAGCAAATTTCTCCACTTTATTGCACACCGATGAATGTACTGAGATCTGTATCTAACGCGTTTTATCGAAACTGTGAGCGAAGAAACGCTGCCTAACATCAGAACGATTTAGATACATATCAAACGGGTTTGTATGATTATGTATAAACTATTTCAATACAAAGATCTAAATTATAACATTAAGCTAAGATTGAGATTTTAGGGGTTTACGATTGGCGTAGGACTAAGATCGGTTAGTGGAACGGCACCCTGATACGGTTTGGCAGAATCACAACTTACAAGAAATGATGAAATCACACTTCATGCATGGCAGGCAGACAATATAAAGGCCACTGGACCAAAATATACAATCATTTGTCATAGAATAATTAAAGCGCACATAACATATGTAATCAATGACTATATAGGAATTTCTGGTTTTTATGACACATTTCAAGACGTCACAGAATGATGCTATCATATTTATTATGTTTCTGTTGTAAACAATATTAACAAAATTTTGTTGGTTATAAAATATATGAAAACATTTGACAAAAGGAAAAAAAACTTATTTCTTCTCTCATCATACAATTTACAGACAAACAAAATGTGATTTTCATCTTCAATAGGTGCTATCTTATTACTTCTACAGAAAATGCATTGGTATCTTCCAGTTTCGATAGCTAATCCAAAGTTACTTCATCTACATTTAGCTTACAGAGATTTAAAGTATGGTGAGATAGGTAATGTTCAGTAAGTTTCTAAAGTTAGCAATAATGTATAATGTTTATAGGTATAGGAATCGGAGAGACTTTCAACAGAGGTATGTCATGACTGTTTTAGATTATCTGACAAACGAAGCTTAAATTCTTGCATAAATATCTTACTATTACCAACATCCTGGTAAAAACATACAGAACATGCATGAGAAAGAAAGTAAAGCGAAATGTGTCAATTAGCTCTTCAATATTCTCCTGCTTGTGTACATGTATTCTGACAATTGTTACAATGTTATAAACTTATCACTGGCCTTAGTTTCTAATGTGTTGAAATTACTAAAACTGACCTGATTCTATTTGATGTCATGGCCTGTGTGTCAATGGCGACGTTCAGTTCATAGTTTAAAAAAAATCGGTTTGTGAGTCGGGATTTCACGCTCATTCGATAGAACAGAACATTACAGGTTTTACCATGTAAATAATGTTTTTAATAGATATACAGTTAGCTTTATTGCATTTAAATGTATCGTATTTTGGACAAACCGTGCACCATTTTTCGTATAAATCTAAATCAAAATGAGCATTTCAAAACAAACGAAAATGTTTTCAGTTTTGGACTTGTCCTTGTTCATTAATTAATATGTGGCTATTTCACTTCATACATTAAAAGATACAGTAAAAGCTCCTTTGTATGGAACTATCTGAGTAATGGTGTTAGGTATTATTAAAGCAGGACGTGTCAAAGTTCATATCTAAACTACCGGGCAAAAAAGTTAGTACTTTTAAAGTAATTGCATAAAAAAAAAAAAAAGGGTACAGGTTTGAACCCAAGCAGAAAACACTCGCCAAAACGCAACATGGTCCCGATAACAACGCAGCTGTTCGAAAGCTTCGTACGAATCGTGCATTCTTTTAAAAGTGAAAAAAGTAATTGTGGGACACTGGTCCAAGTTCACGTGCATGATCTTGACATAAATACTGATGCTGAACAGCGCAAACATGCAGAAACCAAAGAACCACAACGAATATGCCAAGACTTACGCCAGCGCAACGAGACAGGGTGATTGGTATGGCCATTTCAGTAGCTTCACAACGTCACCTGGCAAGAACCTTCAACGGCAGCCAGGCCACCACCACATCAGCAAATTGATAAACTGCTACCAGCAAACAGGCCAGACCCAAGACCGCCTACGATCGGGAATGCCAAGAGTCACGACACCGGCTGGAGACCGCTACATCCGGCAGATCAACCTCTGGAAGAGATTCGTGACGGCGACAGCAATAGGACACGCCATCAGCAGGCGAACAGTATTTGGGTGTACAAGCTTACGCCCCTTCAGTGGAATGGCCTTGACCCGTCTACACCGTCAACGCAGGCTGCAATGGGCACGAACAATACGTCGGTGGCAGCTACTTGACTGGGAGAGGGTGCTCTTTTCAGATAAAAGTCTGTTCAGTCTGTTTAGAAACGATGGCAGAGTTCGGGATTTTCGAAGTGTAGGAAAACGACTGGAGCCAAACTGCGTTCAAGAGGTTCCTCCGTTCGATAGAGGAGGCGTCATGGTATGGGTAACACTCGTGACCAGAGAACAAGACAGGTTATCATACGGGGAAGTCTGAATGCCCAGCGATACAGAGATGAAGTTTGGTTTGGCGGTTTGAAAAGTAGACACTGCCGTGTCCGAAATTTGCGTTATTTGTTGAAAACCAGTACATTTCTCCGCTTTTTATCATACACTAATAAACTTATCGTCACTGTGCGACGATTTTTTAATTTGGCATCTTTACTGAAAGTGTATATATATGGGCGACACAAGAAATGGAGTCGTGTGGATATGTATAACGTTGTATATTCAATATACGTATACAATATTATTATGTCTTGCCATAAATGGTGAAAATTGATTTTCCTCTACGAAGTCGAACGGCGATAGAGAGGTCACACACGCATTTATAAAGTTGAGGGAGCATAATTCCGCTGTGCTTTACACTATGTCTTTGTAACTCAGGTCGCTGGGAGAGAATATGCTGTGTGGATAAGGACACTATATTTTCGTGAGATTTTGTTCAAGGTAAACCAAACGCGCACCTGACGAAACATCAGGCATAATTTTACAGTCCATAAAGCTGTATAAAAAAGGACCAAGAAAATTCCTAATAAATATACATTTAATACCAACATATTAAATCACTTTCTTAAACTGAAATAGTCAGATTTGCGTATAAGATTAAACGAAATCGCCGTTCACAAAACTGTTTATATGAAATTACAAGATTGAATAGACACATGGCAAGGACTACGTGCAGGCAGACGTCGTCTAACAACTGTTTAAAGGATAAAAACATGGTGTTCTTCGCTAAATGTGTCTTTTTCTTATGTACATATTGTTAAAACCCAATAACTTTTAAAGAATAACAATAACTTACAGCCATCATCTACGTACATGTATATGATATTGTACAAGGCAAAATGTAAATAATGAAGTTATTAGTCTGGTAAAAGAAATAGCTATAAGATAGGCAACATATACATCATATTATTGAGACCCGTGAGGGTCCGGTTTAGAATGAACCTTCAGTAACCCATGCTTGTCGTTAGAGGCGACTAACAGGATCGTGTGGTCAGGCTCGCTGACTTGGTTGACACATGTCATCGTATCCCAATTGCGTAGATCGATGCTCGTGTTGTTGATCCCTGGATTGTCTGGGCCAGACTCGATGGTACACCTACAGAATTAGGAGATAAACCTAGTGTGTTTGAAAATCAGAGACATGCTTTACTGAATTGATGGCGACTAAATTTCAATTGGAACCGAACGCGTAGCGTGAGGTTTCAATTGAAATATTTAGTCGCCATCAATTCAGTAAAGCATGTCTCTGATTTTCAAACACACTAGGGTTATCTCCATTCTACCATGACCCATTTAAAAATCGAACTTCCTCGCTCTGCGGAAGACACTGCGTAATCCGGCATGGGACGAGAGGCGAATTGAACTCGTCTGTGAAGGGAGCGGTAGGTGCCGTTGGTATTTTTTTAACATTACAACATAACAATATTCTGTCCAAAGAAATCAAACTACTGTTTATTCAATGCAATTATGTAATACCCGAGATCTTGGTTTTTTCATCCCAACTCCACACAACTAAAACCAGCCTTTTGTTTTGTGTGCCGTGAAACTGTACCCCCCTGGCCACACTATAATGGAATCGTCTGACCTACTCATTTTCTTCGAAGTAGACAGTTACGCAACAGTTTGAAATGGCGGACGAGCCAGTGTTTACATTTTGCGAAAGGTTGAAATTTGAAGTGACAGTGGACAATACTTGACTGACTGTTGAATCTGAACCCTGCAGAATCGAAGAATAGATCCTTTCCTGATCAACCTACGACCTGTAACTCATCAAAGACTGTTGATTTTTATGACCGGCCGATCATGATTTCACGTACTGCCTCCACCCCCGGCATGCGACAAAAGAGTGACAGTGCAGCGATGAGTGCTGCTGCTTAGTGTACATGCGACTAACTTGTGATTCCTTGGAACTTTGTTTTCATCGTTTGGGACTGGACTGTGTCCAAGCGTTTTTCAAAGTAGATGAACATAACAGTGACAACCTTGCGGGGAAGCTGGCAAAGGGCAGAATTATTTTGTGAACGATGCAACGGGATATGATGGAGAATACCGGATACATACCAGCCATATTGTTTAGTGTCACGTCACCCTAACCCTAACCCCAAACCTTACCCTAACCCTAACCCTAAGTAAATTCGCGTGCTTTCAAAGGTGGCGGAAGGTATCCGGTATTCTGTAGTCTTACCAACAGTTACGAAATATGTGCAACAAAGTTGACGTGTGACCTCACAACCGGTGACCGATTTTGTTTATACAAAATGGCCGGTTCGGTGACATCGGTGCGCAGGATTTTGCGAGGGAACTTTCCTTGATTCAGGGAACTTTTGTACATAAATATGTGTACTCAGAAACATTCTGCTATCTCCGTATTGTTATTTTGTTTTTAATGTTTTCATTGTAACCAAGAGGAGGGGTCAGAAAGGTCGATATTACGGTTGTCGTTCTGCGTGATTTTGCGTTAGTCGAGTCGTCACGCTGAAAGGAACTTTTGACAATAACGTATGAATTATCAAATCATTGTATTGTATCTATTTTTAATTTTCTTGCTAATGTACTCTTTAAATGCATATTCTAAAAGTATTGAGCCTATGCATGCTACGATGAGGCGAATGGATGTCTGAAAATATGAGAAAATGCTGTACCCAGCATCTTGGTTTTTTCTTTGTTTACATTTCAAACAGGTGCATGTTAGTTTCGCTTGATTTATCTAGACATTCGGTTTCAGTGACAAAGACCATTTGTTATTTGATATAAAATGTATTAGGAATTCAGCTATGTGTTTGACGCAGCTGAGTGTGTAAAATGCGTGATTTTGTAAACACAGTATCCAATATTTATGGCCTTAGCGTTCGTGAATGTTCCAAAACATCCCAACCAATTCTTAGTTTATCGGTGCCGTTTCAGAATTACCTTTAGGGATTAGATGAAAAACATATATCAGTGATCATTAATATGCTGTTTTGGAAATTCAGTCCTCCGAATAATTATCTGATTTTACATTTGAAACATACACCAAATAACGCTATGAATCGCAATTTCATAATGTGTCAGAAATGGCAACATTTACGATGTACCCAATTTTGAAGAGGATGGCAGATCCAGAGGCAGAGGATAAATAGGGACCATCATAGTATATTGTACCTCTAAGATTTGATTGACGTAAGGTGATGAATATATGTCACGCTAATTCTAAAACCAATTGTTGAGAATGAGGCCCCAAATCCTTATATCAAATGTTATCTGTGCTATTTACTTAGTACTTACCCCAGTAATAGCAGTTGACCATTTCGATTTTGGGGCTCCGGGAAGAGAATTGCGCTTCTCTTTCGTTTGTGGTGACGGGAGAGACATGTTTAGCGAATACTTGTGGTCACATCATCATCATATTTATGTTGGTTGGCCACTTCAGCAGGATCCCGGACTTCCTTTTGAATGTGGTTCCATCAAAGCGTATCCATATTGTCGTCAATAATATGGCATGACGTCATGTCGTGCCGTTAGCGTATGACGTCAAAAATGAATCGAATAATGACGTCATCAAATCGGCCACAAGTTTCTGTCAATCTACTAAATGTGCGCGCGTGTGTGTTTGGATGTGTTTTCATTTTATTCCAACCATGGCGTGTTTGGTATTGGTATTGGTTTTGTAAAATGTCGGGGCACATGTAACAGTTTATGTGTAACTTTATGGAAACTCATGCTTTTAAAATTCTGCCAACAACTGAATGTGACAATAAATTCAGTACTTTTTTTCAGTATTATTGGTATAGATCTATGTGTTTTTTTAATACGTTATCTTTATGAAAAATTGTTAGTTTTTTAGTTAACAGTGTCGGGTATTACTGAACAAACGGTTATTACCGAACAAAATATATCATCACCTAAAAGTTTCAGTATCATATTTTCATAGTAATGGGAGGGAGAAACAGTATGTACATGCGGTATGCTGTCTCAGCTAGCACATCCTTTTTCTTCTTAATTAATCTGTCCGTGTTGATGTGGCATAGTTTCTAAATCAAATCTTCTCTGTGTGTAACAGTGTTCTGAAAGGTCTATCGGAGTAATAGAATACAAAGAGCATGCATTTTCTGCGATTTGTTTTAAAAATTATTTGCAACATATCATATTTTGTCTACATTACCTCAACATTCCCGATAAGATATAATTAATTATTAAGCTTTTTGTGAAATCTTTAATTCGTGCATTAACTTGCCAGAGGTTCCCCGTTATCATGAGAGATGCCTGCGAGCACTTCGTTACAATAATGTAGCTTGATAACAATGTATTTTGATTTAACTACTACGCTCATTTAGTGTGATGACAAGTCTGTTTTACCTTTAGAATACAGCACCACAAACTTTAAAAAATACGTCATAATACCCTTTTACGTAATGTAATGTGATTTTGTTCGAAAGCACGTTCTCGAAACAATGCCTTATGACGCCTGCATGGCAACACGGTTGTCTGGCTCCAGCGAGTGCGTATAAGCCCGCTCACTGGTGTTTCATCCTCTACGAGCTATGTCATTGCATTAAAGCCCAACGATGTTGAGAGTTTCCAGTAGTTGTATACCGGCGGATGCGCAATATTTTGCAAGCACCAGTTTGAAATATTTTTCTTTTTTCACTAATACGCTCATATTTATTTGTATTACGGGCTGCTGAGGTGTTATGTTTTGTGTATTTTGTATTTTTTAATTTTTTAAATTTACATATATATATTTGTCATTCAGTAATTTGCACCATTACATAGAAAAGTGTTTTATTAGTATTTTATTTTTCGAAGCGGTAATAATGCATTACACTAGACACGTCAGTCGTGTTTGCGCCGGTTCGGTCAATGCATTCTATTTATTAGGATTAATTCAAGGGATTGGGGTTAGGGCTAGGGCTAGGGCTAGGGCTAGGACTAGGACTAGGACTAGGGTTAGGGTTAGGGTTTAGGGTTTAGGGTTAGGGTTGGGGTTGGGGACCTAATGCAATATATAGTAGGTACATGTCCGGTGGTTCGGTCAATGCATTCTATTTATTAGGATTATTTCAAGTGGTTAGGGTTAGGGTTAGGGCTGAGGGTTTAGGGTTTAGGGTTAGGGTTAGGGTTAGGGTTAGGGACCTAATCCAATATAGCAGGTACATGACCGGTGTAATACGTGAGTACCATTTGTTGTTTTTCCTTTTTGCATTTTAATACTTTTATTTCACACAAAAACGGGAAACCAAAAACGTCGAAAGTACATTATGAAATGGGTTAATGTAGACATTTTGGGCTAATGGAAATTGGTCTGGAATTTGCACTGCCTCTTCACACGCAACATAAATTTTGTAAAGTAATGATTCGAAGGCTAACTCACCCTCGTGCCGTCACTACACATGCTCATGTCTCCCTCGTTCCTTAGTGCGATCCACATTATCCTTACAGTGTTCCCTACATCACTTTTCTGTCACGAAATCACCGATTTATATAAAAGCGCGTCATTCATGCATGCACCGTGAAATCTACGTCTGACGCCTGACGTCAACAACCCTTTTCAGTTTGAGGCATATCGGCTCATTCCACGCCACACGTTAATTTGTAGATTACGGAATGGGACGAGTGTGCCAAATGGCATCGGATCCATTCGGCAATTGTCCGAGAATAAAATCACTCTACCCGTAGCATTCGTAATTGTCCGTGACCTATTCGACTCTTCCGTTCATTTCCGTGACGTCACAGGAATGACTCGATTTTGCACATTGTGCAACAGTGTGGACGTAGCTCAGTCGGTTAGCTGTCGAGCTAACAATCCGAAGGTCGCGGGTTCGCGTCCGACGGGTTCTCACAAACTGGTTGCTTGTCTTAATGACACGTGACCTACGGCAGAGATCGTCCTCACGAGAAGTTGTGGTGCTGTTCTAAATCAATCCCATATATGTAAAACATGTAATCGTATATAGTGTATAACAGGGTGTAGGTGCAAAACCAGGAATTAATTGAAACTAGTATAATCAATATTTTTTAAACCTTCCTGTCTTCACTAAATATTTTGGGAAAATTTATTCATAACATATAATTTGTCTGCCATTTGAATGAAGACCTGAAACCGAACTGCCGCCGTGCTGATGCCTCCGGTCAAAATTGGGGTGGCAGTCAAATCGCCCTAGCTACAAAATGCCCCGGAGTTTTGGTCAAATTGCCCCAGGTTTGATGAAAATGCACCAATTTATTTTAAATAAATAAATATATGCCATAAATGCATAGTTTTTGTCAACTACGATATTATATTCTTCATGTAATATTGTAATATTTTTGATAAATGTTCCAGGTAAACTGATAAGACCAAAAGTAATATTCTCTATAGACAACACTGTAATACCAGTTATTTGCATTGTATTAATGCTTTTGTAAAGAATCACAAGAATAAAATGAAATGTTTATAGCTTGATTGTTATCCAAGCTATCATAAGAATGGAGGTCAGCTTGAGAACAAGTGCCTGACAGTATCCTGCTGGCAGTTTGAGCCATGCAAGATTTAACATTATCTCTCAAGTTGTGAACTCTAAACCAAAGACGTCTCACTCTCTCTCTCTCTCTCACACACACACACACACACGTACGTCTAAACCCATCAGCTCATTCAACAAGAGTGCAAGATGAAGAAACTCTGGCAGCATGTACTGCAGGATACACTTTATGCGACTCTTACTCCTAAACCTCCCTTGAAAGGGGAGACATGTCTCTCTGTTGACACTTGAGAATAATAAGTAACACCCTCACTGATGCCAGTAACATGCAGACTAGTGGATGTAATCCTCTTGGTGACAGTAAGTTGTGAGGCTGTAATATTGATCATGGTTGTTGTTGGACTGATTCTGTAATTTGTGATGCATATTCTTGGACTCATCGCCTCTTATATTCAAACAGATCGAAACAAGACTTAGTAGCTTGCCTTCTTCCCTTGTTGCAGTCTATGTGTTAGCGACTCCACATCAGCATTAAGACAAACCAACAGAGTGGAGTGTCTTCCTGCCCTGGGCCCTGGAGGGGTCTAGCAACACAACAAGAGCTGATCTTGAGAGCATTCATTATTAGGAGTCACCTTACATGACTTGCATGATGATAAAGATCGTTGTGCTTTCAGATGAAAGACTTTCATGAAGCCAACCATTCCACAGAACACAACACTTCCCTGTACTATAACAAGATAACTTTGCATCTTTATCCAGAATAAACCCAAATGGACACATGTCAAAGTGTATATTTCAAGTGATTGGCATGAAGGCAAACTAGTTTGTCTATTTATACATTCAAGATGGAGATCTAAGTCTTCATAATCAGGCAGAGAAATGCAATTTTTTCGAAGGTCACCAGACAGATCATTTAGATATGCCTTTGTGAAAATATGCGTGTCCATACTTTTCAATGAAGCAATTAAACTTAAAACATCACAAAAATTATAAGCACTAAGAGCCACCGACTGTTCATCACTTTCCACATGTGTTTCCGTGTTTCTAGCTCGAAAACTGCTTACCGGTAATCCAGTAACAAAGTGATTTAGTTTACCACCCCTGTTGACTGCACAACTTAATTTTCTACAAACTTTGCAGACTATAGTTTTGCTTCAGTCACATTCGAGCCACAAATCATATTTCTTGGGAGACAAACTATGAGGAATAACATGTGCACATCTTTTTATTTTGGATTTTGAATCACATTTTTGCTTAAAATAATCATGGAAAGTAATAGTTGCATAAGTTAAGTGTGCCACCAGGGCACGGAGAAAATGTTTCATCCATGCCATTTCAATATTTACCATGTCACTGAACACAAATTCTGCACTATTTCGATCACTGATAATACATAAATATTGCTGTTTCTGTGCCATGCTTAGTGCCACTAGTGCCATGCTTTAGATTACCCTGCCATTTCCATATGCCAGAGTTGAAGGCTCCCTTGACATAACACACCTTTCACTGTGTCCACCAGTTTGGGCAACAAAGACATTCCTCCTTTCAGGAATATTTGGTCTCCCTTTCTTCAATTATCTGCCATTTTGATTACAATATGAGTGATATAGTAATGATGATGGTGTTTTTTGTCTTCCAACGAATGTGTCCCACACTTGTACCGCTCTTGTGGAAGGGTTCTACAAGAAGTTTAAACATCAGTTTGACGCCCCATGTGATAACAAGGGTACCAGTAAAATAACATCATTTTCCTTTGCAGACGAAACTCATTTTAAGACTTAGCAGCTTTATGAATAGCAACAAAGCCTCGGACCCAATTAAGTCACTTTTCAAAAAGTTCCATTTTGACAAATCTTTGTTCTTCTACCCGCAGGGTTCTTGACATACATGACAACTTGTTCCATGTTCATACATGATAAGTGTTGAGGCACAGACTACTGCCAGATTCACTATTCTAGCTGCTATTCTAGATGCTACATTCAAGTTCATCTGTATCAGTACAAGATAGAACTCTACCATTGTCTACTGTTCCGCTCATTCACTGCGAAGATTAGAACATTTAGATTATATCAACATATCCAAATAGTTATTTTCCACATCAAATCATAAATACAACAATGGCTTTTATATTCATATTAGTCATATTTAATTAATTTAATAATTATTATTTTGTTTAGCATAAAATTAGAAACATACTTTGAGGTTGATCAATATTTGTTTCCACAAAACTCAAACATGAAATAAAACAACAAAAACAAATACGCTGGATGTCTGCGGTGAATGTCTTCATAACATTGTCCCATAACTGTCCATAAATTGTTTTTAACTTTTCAAATCTTGTTAGAAACCTCAAAGATTGCATCAATCAGGTCATTTTTCTTCTGTAGGGCTTGCACTGCACTATTTCTGTCAATGTTCATTTGAGCCATCATGATGGAAATATCTCTCCTGTCAAGTCCTGTTTCATCTGCGGATTTCTCACCAAAAACCTGAAACACTGCCTTTGGTTTTACACACTCTCTGATTAACTCTCCTGTCATTAATCTACCCTTGTGAACCACTTTCATTTTTTCTAAAGGAATACATACATGACACCCAAATAGTTTGAGTATTTCTTGTCCTGTCCAATCGTCCAGAATCTTTAACTTGTGCTTCTGTTTGTTTGATTTTACATAAACGTCACAGTAAGCTTTTTCTTCATGAAACACTGGTGTGTCATGATGATGTTGATTGTTGTGGAGGTAAGACAAACCGCTGTTGTTGCTGCTGGGGGAAGACTGCCCTCGGGATGCCATCAGTCTGTCAACAGCTGAGTGGAAGTCAACACGTACTGTCTTTCCATCTGCCAGGTGCGGTGATCCATCAGTTGAGTCAGAGGCACTACTATTGGTTTTGCCACTTTCACTTGTAAAGATACTTTTTTGGTCATGGCCACTGGAATCAATCCTCCTCAAGCACATAGACTTGTGAGCTCCCCAGTCTTTAACTTGGCAGCCCCGAGAACTGGAAAGAAATATTTCATCAAATAAGACTATGAAGAGTGTGAAGAAAGTATTACTTATGCACTGTTTGGATGTAAAATCATGTGACACTGTGTGCTGAAATGGAATGAAATAGAAACTCAAAGATTAATAGAATAGTTTGAGCGAAATAGACCTCAAATGTCAACTAACCTCACAAACTGTAGTCTTATAGAGTTTTTGAACGTGACTACTTGAATAGTCAAATGTTCACATGAACGGTAAACATACACATACACAGTTATGTGGACCACAACAATATATTTCTAAAAATAAAAAATAAATTAACTATTCCAACAAAAACATCAATTTTTCCTCAGTTTAGCATGCTATGCTACTATCAAAATCACATGAAATATGGCACAGCGCAATGTTTAAACACCTTTTGCAAGAGACATTTTGATAGAAACTGCCCAGAGTGGAGAAAAACCTGATATTTTGTACTCGTGTCCTGGTGGAGTGTTTGATAAGACAGAGAAACCTGCCAGTACATTTCTGATTGATATCAATGGATGAAGAAGTAAACCAATTTCTGCACCTACACTTGTTCAAAATATGTGCAGGATTACTGTCAATACTGACAGCATATATGTGCTCACATACTCTATATTTAATAACCGCATACAGTGATGTGTTTGACGGTGAAGGCAAAACTGGAAGGACTCCTTCATTTGGAGATTGAAAACAGTGCCACCCAGTACAACTGTCTTGTTGCATGATTCCCATTGCTACACAGACTACCTTAAAAGAACATTATTACACCTGTCAGTGTTCCAACTGATTGGATTTCTGCTTTCTGTCTCACACATAACCATGTCTAGCCTGGACTGTCTTAGACTAAGTACTACACAGACCTTTTGGCTGCACTTAAAGAATTTCATAGACTTAGATTTACTGCAGAACTAGATGCTATTCATTGCAGACACACAGATACTTACTTGTTTCTCAATTTTCATAACAAGTACACAGTATCAGATACATTCAACAGAACCTGACTCCATGATGATAAATGATGAATGATTCAATTTTGCATGACCTTTATTTATAAATCTCAATTGTATGATTACAGCTATGTAACTGATTTATGAGTACACAAATGTTCATGCTGTAACAAGTCACATGGAGAGAAACGTATTACTTCCAGTCACTTGCTTCCCAATTAAAACACACGATGACAGCAATAAGATGGAGGATTTATTGTTACCTGCACCAGCCATTGTTAACATGCACCAGTGTAAATAGTGAAATCGCACCCTGACATGGATTACAGTATGCCATCTGTAGTGAGACTCGCCTATAAGGTGTGCACACTCTAAAAGCCTTCTAAATGAAGTCAAAACCTAGGCACACGATCGCTACAATCTGGGTATTTTATCTGTCATCAACATTCTACTTCTACTGAGGTTTGATAAGGACTTGGTTTGAGAAAGGTATTGAACCAAACAATTTGGAATTGTCCTTGCGAAGTGTGACACAACCCCACATCTGGTATTTCTTCATGTGCTGACGTGTGCGTGGGCGACGTCTGCGATGGAACACCGCGGTACAGGCATGGACTGTGAGAAACTGGCCTGTGAGTCTGGTTCAGTGATAAATAGCGGCTTCACACATTGTATACATGTGGGCAATCGAACACAGGTCTTGAGCGTGACGAGCTGACACTTTAACCATTGGGCTACCCCACCGGCCCTGCAGTTAGTTGACGTTACATCTGATGGACATCAAAATACTGACTTAAGGCTCTATTCATTAATTCGTTAGATTCAATTAGTCACTACATGCCATCAATCTACAGTAAAAATTTGCACAATTGGGATACGATGACATATTTCAACCAAGTCAGCGAGCCTGATCACCTGAACCCGTTAATTGCCTTTTACCACAATCATGGGTTGCTGAAGACCGATTCTAACCCAGATGTTCATGTGTGTCTTCCGTCAGTAAGGAGGACACTGATGTATTATATTATTGACCTGAATTGATCACACAGCTATTTATCCTTCTACATTATGTTAACATCCTGATGTTGTTCAAAGAAGTGATGAACCAGTGTAACTCTTATATTCAAACAAAGCGTTTCTGTTGCACATATAATAAAGCATATTTTCTAAATATAACGGAAGTCCCCATACCCTTCTCAGTGAGTACATATTGCTGGAGATATTCTGCTTGCTGACATGAGTCAACACAGACGTTTAAAGATCAGGATATGCTGCAGGAAAAAAACATCTATTGTTGTCTGAAACAAAGGATAGATATTATTAGTTTTCCTGATATGGAAGATCTCTGTATGGAACTAGATATGATTGTTAGCCATCAAATATGAAATATATTTTAACATGAGCTGGAATCGAAGCGTACTGGGAAGATTTCACAGAACCCACAATGAATATATCTTATTTGATATGGCAAAGTTGGTTGGGTTTAAAAAGAAGAATCAAATTCAAATCAGTTATGTGATTGGTTAAAAACAGGTTATATTGAAGTTCACACCCCGAAATTTGATTGGTTGAAAATAGATTGAATATAAAGTGTTCCTGAAATTACATTGAACATAGGATGAAGCGAATCCAATCTCAAAATCCTGTTTTGAAAACAGGTTGTTCTTAATTTTATCAACAAAATGCCTTTTTATATGACGTCATAAATTTAATATTTAAAGGATATCGAATTTGATATTAAAGGGAAAAGCATCTGTATAGGTATTTACATTATGGGGCGGTTCCAGCACAATGTATACCAGAGTTGTGAAGTGAACATGGCTCTCCTAGTAACTCACTTTGACACAACGCTGGGAAACATTATACCTTTTTTCAGAGTTACGTAAATAGCTTGGTGCCTGTCATGTGGACATAGAATCCCCATTAGAATCAATAAATCTGACAACGATTAACGTTACCTACAAGTGAAGTATGTTATGTCAAAATGTCAGCACGTTCGAGCATCAAGCTTTGCATTAACATAGGAGTTATTTCCCTTACGCTTTGTGAAATTACTGTAGCATGTCAAACTTTATGAAGACTTCATGAAGATGGTGTATCTATTTCTCCCTCTACAGGTGCAGGTATGTCAAACACATGTAATATGTATCTCTTGACATGATTAATCAGTAATACATTACATGATATTTGCATGCACAAAAATAATAATAATAATAATTTGTCTTAAAAATCAAAAGTATATATGTGTACATGAAAAGGGAATTTTGCATCAAATGGAAAGCACAAATAAGTGTATACAAAGTGAATACAATGTGAACATTATACTAGCCATGGCAATTATAAAATTTAGCATTTCTTTCTATTTAGAGTTATCTTGTCTCAGCTGCTAAATGGACAATCTTTATGGACAATTTCAGCGTCCATTATACAGTGATCACATGGATTCAAATGTAGACTGAACATAAATTGTGAATACACAATGCCATTTAGAAAGTGCTCAAATGTAATGTATGTTATATTTTGGAGAACACCTTCTCAGTAAAGACAGATTCTAATAAATTTGTTAGGTTGAGTCCCATTCCAGATTTGAAGCCACAACCTCAGAGTCAGGCACCAGCACACTAAGTCATCCATCTAGCTCACCCAGCCACTGCAGCTTCCACAAAATGGAAGTCGGATATAAATTGATAATTAATTAATTGGACCAGTCTAAGTAAACTTTTAGGCTCAGTATTATTCGTTACACTGATATACTGAGTCTAACAAACCCTAGTAGACGGTCACGTCAGCTAACCTTTATTGACCTATGACCGTCCAATCAAACGCGAGATGGCCGAACAGATTTAACCAATCAGACAATGGGTACTATTTTGGGTTCTGCGGGACATACAAAATGGTTTTGGGATTTTCTCTTCCCCGGTCACTCACTGACTATCAACAAACGAAAATCCACATAAAACACAGATGTTTGACCTGCAGTATATATGCTTAGGGGTTTCTGCTGACATGATTACTGTTAGCTTATATTTAAGCAACATGCCATCCTGGAATATTGACAAAAAACGCTATTTTCAGCGACTGTGAATAATGGTGTCTTCCATGTGTATCACTCGGAAGAGACTGTGCGGAAAATAGCATTCAGAATCGTTCGGGTTTTCGAGGTAAAAGTTCAAACAGTATGTGCAAATGTTAATTTTCGTGATTTGGTAAGCTATGTGCTGATTGGTCAATTCAAAAGGTTAGCTGACGCGACCTTCTACTAGAGTTTGTTAGACTCAGTATAGCAGTGTAACGAATAATACTGAGTCTAAGCTTACATAGACTGTTAACTGGACTATGTTGATTTTCTGTCATGAATATTTGGGAACAAGACAGTAAAATGTTGGTAACATACTGTTTACAACATTGCAGATGAAACTGTATTTTACTTTATTGAATATATCAAAGTAATGATTCAGCAGAGATAATTAGGTCTATAAGGTATTACCGAAATACGATTTTCAAAAAAAACCATGAAGTTTTATGAAGAGCCCTAGTATAAACTAAAATCTTCAAAGACTAACATTCACAACACATGTTTCCCTTTGAAATTCATTGACAAAACAGCATACTTTACACAAATTGTATAAAGAAGAACATGGAATCACTAACTATCCAACCTTATTTTGAGATTGCTGTTATCAGATCCATAACATTTATCTTTAGGGCCTTCATATGCAGAAAAATGGATCTGTATAAGCAATTAGTGTTACTCACTGTCAAACACTGGAGCTCCCAATATATTACAACACATCGCACTCTACCCATACAAAAATGCCAATACACAGTCATAGAAGTTATACAAGTCAAGTTATTTAACACTGTCAACACTGACAATATAGAGCACTGGTATTCACTGGTATTACAATTTATAGAAAATAAATGCACATTCTGATTTGTTTAAGGTCACCGAGTGAATGTAAGACAGGACATCTCAGTTACTTCTCTGTTTAGCGTTCTCCAAACATCCCATACAGTGACCCTCACTTATCCCTCCAAAGCT